GAAAGAAAGAAAGAAAGAAAGAAAGAAAGAAAGAAAGAAAGAAAGAAAGAAAGAAAGAAAGAAAGAAAGAAAGAAAGAAAGAAAGAGAAAAGAAACAAACTAAACAACACTGAGGGCCATGACCTCTACATGGCTTTGAGGAGACAGACACTGACCTTATCCTAATGGCTCTTTTTAAGGGGTCACAAAATATTACTTCCTCCCCCTCCCCCTGGTAAGGACACATATGGTTCCGTCACCCTGCTGCCCAGCCTCACCTTGGATCCTCAGGCTCTCCTGGTACTGGATGATGAAGTACTCTTGGGTCTGCTGCAGCTTCTTCAGCTCGTTCTCTGTGTCCTGCGTGACTAGTCGCAGCTCCTCAAAGGTCTGGTTGATTTGAAGGTGCTTCTGAGACATGGCGTCCACCAGGATGCCAGCAGGTGAGCTGCACTGGGGACAGAAGGAGGAGGGAAGTGACAAATGTGCTTGGCAGAGAGGAGGGGAAAAAACGTCAGGGGACACCAGTATTACAGACTCCAAACCCCAACTCTGGGGTAGGAAGGAAGGCTTCTTTGGTTCATTTGCTAGAATTAGAGCCCAAAGTGGTAGAGAGAGAGAAGAGAAACAGGTTATCTGGCAGATATAGCAAGAATTCCTATTGGGAAAGGGCAGGAGCTTTGGTTTGATTTTCTTTTTTCCTTTTTTTTTTTTTTTTATCTTTGTTGTTGGTCATGAGGCTTGAACTCAGGGCCTGGGCACTGTCCCTGAGCTCTTCTGCTCAAGGCTAGTGGTCTACCACTTGAGCCACAGCTCCACTTCCGGTTTTCTGGTGGTTAATTGCAGTGAAGCGTCTCACAGACTTTCCTGCTCAGGCTGGCTTTGAACAGTGAGCCTCAGATCTCAGCCTCCTGAGTAGTTAGGATTTCAGATGTGAGCCATCAGTGCCACATGGCTTAAGGAATTGGGGAGGACATTCTGGGGATCCCAAAATGAAGTCATAGGAGAAGTCTTTAGGAGGCTTCTTTATATCTCAACATGCCTTTAATTTCTGACTGAGAAGAACCAGGTATTTGGGAACTTTCCAAATACCTACTCTCAGAATAAACTCTAACCTTCTTCTAGCTTCATCAGGTCTAGCAGGGACCTCTGCTGGCCTTTACCCCAGCTCCCATGCTGCCTCTGCTCTTTGAACACATACATAGCCATGAGCCTGTAGCAGGGGCCTTGGTCCTTCTTGTGCCACCAGTCTGGAATATTCTGACACCAAATCCTCCGAAGCAGGCACTTCAACACCATGCTACAGACCTGCATTTCTCAATCAGGCCGCATTTACAGGTAGCTGTGTGGTGGTAGTAAGCCAGAGATGGGGGTGGGTTAAGTTTCTGACTACTTGCAAGCTTTGGAATGTGAGGCCGTGATTCCGGCCCTCACATATAGGCTATCTATCAAACTCATCCTTTTCTGGGTTCTAGAAGCTCAGGCCTGAAATCCTAGCTACTCAGGAGGTTGAGATCCAAGGAACTTGGTTGAAAACTAGCCCCAGCGGAGGAAAGAAAAGAAAGAAAAAGGAAAAAAAAAAAAGAAAGAAAGTCTCAGAGAGGTTAAGTAACCTTCTCAAGTCACACAGCAAAGAAAGCTAGGGATTGAACCCAGGAGTCATGTTACACCAGCATGCAATATTGCCTCTCACATGGCCCAGGTCCCTTCCTTGGTACTTGCCTCGTGCCACTGTTACATAACCATAGTTGTGTCCCAGACAGCAAGGCACATGGTAGGATCTCCCTGCCTCTCCCCAGACCCAGGGACACTCACGTTGTTGGCTTCTCGGACCAGCCTCTGTTCGTTGTACAGAATGTGCCGGATGCAGCGGACCAGCTCCATGGGGCAGCGATCATATGTGTTCTGAAAGAATGCAACAGTAGCCACCCTGTGTTCTAGCTGTGTTGGTCCCCGTGCTAGGGCTACCGCCTCCTCTCCTTCAAGCTCTGCTCAGCTTCCCCTAGGAAACCTCAAATATCTCTGTTTTGTCATTGCTGTATTTTCCTCAAATCTTCATTGGTTTAAAGGGACTGAAGACCCACAGGCTACAAAGCACTTCCAAACTTCCTGTCAACTTTCACTCACAGCACTGGAGACACACAGAAATGACTCTTCCCATTATTTTTTTAATGGAGGCTTGAACTCAGGGCCTGGGCATTTGGTTTTTTTTTTCTCTCTCTCAAGGCTGGCACTCTACTACTTGAGCCACAGCTCCACTTCCAACTTATTGGTGGTTGGTTTGGAGATAAGAGTCTCATGGACTTTCCTGGGCAGGCTGGCTTTGAACTGTGATCCTCAGATTTCAGCCTCCTGAGTAGCTAGGATTACAGGTGTGAGCCACAAGTACCTGGCTACCTCCCTTCATTTCATGGTCAAGAAAACTGATGCCCAGAAAGGGTAAGTACCAGTCCAGAGGCAAACAAGTGGGAGAGCAGATGACTCAAGACTCAGTACGCTTGATGCCCACATCGAGGTGCTTTCCACCAGGCACCTCCCCCTGGTTTTCTAGTTTGCTTCCCCTCATGTTTCTCCTGTTTCCTCTCTCTTCTAGGATGGACTATTTATCTCCCTGGCATTTTGTTGCTTGGATGTAAGAGTTGTTCTCTAAGAAATACAAGGGAATTCCAATAAATGCTTGACCATGATTACCACCCACACCTCTTTCCTGTTTCCGCAAAACTCCCCCTCCTATATAAAGGAGAAGACAACATCTTAGTTCCAATCCCCTAATTTAAGTATTTTATCTGGTGTTTGCCTGTAGGGCACCTCTGTCTCTCTTCAGCAGCTCTCTTGCCTTTAAAAGGGCTTCAAGATGGGCAGGGAATCTGGCTGCTTCCTTCCCTCATTTCCTGAATCCATCAGTCTCTCTTCTGATAGCAAAGCAATCTTGACTCTTTCTACTACCCTCCCTTCTACCCATCCACCCACTGTTGCTGGGGACACACACTCCCTGCTGGGCATCACCCCCCCACACACACTTGCTTTTGTAATAGGTTAACAGAATCTGGCAGATCTGACTTAGAAGGAGGGGGTGGGGGAAATTGAAGAAAAATTATCAGTATACTACGGTCATATGGCAAGTCAGCGGCCAGGCTAGCAAAAATCCCAAGGGTGCTGCTGCTAGAAGAAAAGGCAGGTACTACCACCCTGCAGACAGCCCAGCCTTCACACCCACCTGCAGCTGCGTGGCATAGTGTCCCAGCTTGATCTTCCGCAAAAACCCATCTTCCCCCACCTGATGCTCCGCCTTCTTCTGCAGCTCCTGCACCAGGCCCTCCAGGAGCTGGGTGGCCTGGCCTCGGTCCTGGGGATTGTCCAGGTCAATGGCATCCCTTGGAATAGGGCAGAGGAGAGAAAAAAAACATCCTGTGGCACCTCCTTGGGTAGGGAAGCCAGGAACCAAGAATGATTCCAGAACGCCAGACTGGGTGACTCAGGGCACTCTAGGGACCCACCAGACTTGTTCTTGGTAACTCCACAGGGCATGGAAGTGTAGGAAAGTCCTGTTTCCCTTCAGAGTGTCCCATTTCCTTGTTCCCCTTTCCAGGGACAGAAGACAGACAGGATGGGAGTCACATCAAACCACAAAGAGGAGATCCACAGGCCCAAAGACTTTGATGGTGGGGAGCCACAGTAGAGGGCTTAGGACAGGGGAGACCTACCATGGCTGGCTTTCAATCCACTGTGCCAGGTAATGCCGCACTTCGATGGGGAAGTGCTGTCCGTACAGCACTTGCATCTGGCGAAGGGCATCTCCTTGCAGCTGCTGGGCCTGAATCCAGCCCGCCATGGCTGCTCACCTAGGGTGAACACAGGACCCATGAGGCCTCTTTTCTTTAGAGGCCTGTGCCTTACCCCGCTTTGCCCACCGAAGCCATGGTTATAGGTCGGGATCCTCCCGATACATACTTTCCTGTGCGGGAAGAAAGATGGGGAGGAGGGGCAGGCCACTTTTCCCCTCCAACTAGGAACCTGCCAAGGTTTGGGGGAGGCAGGTGCCCTCCCCCTCTTCCTCTCCCTTTGCCCCATCGGGGCTTCCCCAGAAGTGGGGGTGGGGGGGTGGAGAACTGCTAGAAACTGAAAGGAAATCTTGATGCCAGAAGCCCACAAGCCCGCTCCAGAGAGGACTGCAAGAATACGCACCCCCTCACCCCACACCCAAGTCTCTGAAGCTAAAGTTTTAGTAAGCGGGTATTTTCTAACCCAAAGTTACGGCAAAATGTAGAGAGAGAGAGAGGGAGATGGCCTGGTCCCCTCGGGCACGTGGACGGGCTGTCAAGAAGAGAGGGCTGGGGAGAGAGATGCTCCCCCTCTTTGGGCAGTCTCCTCCATCCCGGGTCCAGCCCCCTTTCCATTGCCTGGCCTTG